ATATTCCAACAGAAAATTTTATAATAATATGTTTCAATGGAAATTTCAACGAATATTTTAATGGTATAGGTTTCGTTGGAATGATTCCAACGGAATTTCCGATGAAAATATTCCGTTGTAATGTGTTTTTCATTGGAATTTTAGATGAAATTTGATAATTCCAACGGCTATATATTTTCAATGGCTTTTTACTGTAAGAATTTCCGTAGAATTTTTATTTCCACTCCCGTTAAAAAATCTACCGTTGGAATCGTTAAAATCTAACGGAAATTCCAATGAAAAGCTCATTCCGACGGAATATTTTATTGGAATTTCCATTGTAATCTATTGGAAAATTCTAACGGAAATAAATAACATTGAAAAATATTTATTGAAATTGCCGTTGAAATTCTATTTGAATATATTTCCGTTAAAATTTCATCATTTTCTTATACAGATACAAAGTTTAACTAGTGAAAGTGTCATCCTTCCACGTTAGTTTAGCCCAAGTATCAACATTTGGTGTGCTTTGTAATTTTTATGTCAAGTTTTAGAGTTTATGTATCAATTTGTGTATATTATTTATTTAAAATATTTTCTATTTTTATTTATTTATTTTTAATTATATAAATATATTTTTTCAATTAGCACCGGCATGTTACATGTACAACGAACACTAGGATTGGGGACCCATTTCTTAGTAGACACAGTATATCCAAACCAAAAATTCCTAAATATTTTACTATATATATAATTATTACCTCATTGGCCATAATGGAAATTTTAGCTAAAAAAATTATACATAATATTACTAAATCTTCAAGTATTTGTAAATAGTAGAAGATTGCATGTTGCGCTGAAAGAACAACAAATAGCCGTGAATAAAATAACTTGTATATGATCGATTTTTGACAATTTATTCGCATATGATATTGACATGTTTAAAAATATAAAAAACATTATTATTATTATTATTAACATTATTATTATTATTATTATTATTATTATTATTATTATTATTATTATTATTATATTATGAGATTTTATATATATTTATTAAACAAATACGGCTGTTACTTACCGGCAAAGACTTTCCAGATATTTTTTAAAATTAAGGGAATGACTAAAGACTACCACAAATACGGCTCACATCACATAGTCAAATATAAAGCACTAATTAATAAAAAGTAATTTCCTTGTGCATTCTGAGTTGTTGAGGAAAAATGCTTCCATAGTGTTCACATATTGAATAATTTGTTGCTTCACATAGATATATTATTTCAATATAACCTGAAGCATACAAATGTGGAAAATATTCCATCAAATGTCCTCTTTGGTGTTCAATGGCAGCACTTAAATATTTGAAATTAACAGAATTCAAGTAGTAATATGAATGAGATTTTATGGGTTACTTATTCTTCTCCATTTGATGATTTGTTTTATTGATCTTGTTGCATTCATTTTCAGCTCAAATATTTTTTATTAAACAAATTAAATCTTATATGTAATTATATACTATATATTACATACCATTTTTCGTAAGGCTACGGTTAGACAAACATATTTTTTCAACAAATATGCATATTTTTAACTGAAGGCAATCTAAAAAACAACATAAAAAACTATAACATTTCATACCAAAACTCTACAATTTTGTTACAAAAATATATCGGATAGACTTGCATAATAGTTACGCTCTCTCATACAAAAATCTATATATATATATTATATATATATATATATATAAAGAGAATAACTATTTACCAAAAATAGTAAGTAAAAAATTTGGACAAAACTAAATGCATGCTATTTTGAAAAATTTGTTTTAGTTTTATATTTTCTTTTAACAACAAAATCAGGTGGCATTTAATGCTTCTATCAAAATTGGGTATTGTTCAATTCAAATTCAAAAATTGCGGTTGTAAATATCTTCCAAACATTTTGGACCGAGTTTTCCAATCATTTTGGACGGATTTTCTGACCATTCCTTAAATTAAGAATTTTGTTCAATTTGAAATTTTAAAATATCGAACTTCAAATCTGGTGTATATCAAATTGTATGCATTTCAAAATTCAAAAATATCAATGCACACGTTTTTAGATATAAATATTGTCTAAAAATTTTGGACCAATTTTTCCAGACGAATCTTTTAGACATTTCATAAATTAAAGATTTTGTTCAACTTAAACTTTCAAAATATCGACTTCAAAATCTGATGTATATAAAATTTTATGCATTTCAAAAATTCAAAAACACCAAGCACACGTTAAAATGAAGGATTTGGTTCAATTTGAATTTAAATAATCTTTAAAAATCACACCTTTTAAAACTTTTTTACTTATTTAGTTTAAATTTCCGGAGATTCATAATTGATTTCAATTTAAAATCATTTCAAATTCATTAGTTTTCAAAAGTAAATAAATTTGACCGGAGATACATAATTGATTTTGAATTTCAATAAATCATTTCAAATGGAATCTACTAACAGTGGCCGGTGAAAACCTACAGACAGTCTAGCACTATCAAATGGAATTAAAACACTACAAGAAAATGATGAAATTCCAACGGAAATATATTTCAATAGAATTCCAACGGCAATTCCAATGGGTATTTCAATGCTATTATTTCTGTTGGAATTATCCCAACGGGAATGCCAACAAAAATATTCCGTTGGAATGAGTTTTCATTTAGAATTTTCTTTGGATTTTAACGATTTCAATGGTAGATTTTCCAATGGTGGTGGAAATAAAAATTCCAACGGAAATTCCTACGATCAAAAGCCATTGGAATCATCAAATTCCATCTAAAATTCCTATGAAAAATACATTCCAACAGAATATTTTCATTGGAATATCTATCGCTAACATTCCAATGGAAGCTATTACCATTGGAAAATCCGTTGGAATATATTACCATAAGATTTTCCGTTGGAATATAACAATTTTTTTGTAGTGAATATTGAACTTCTAATTCTTTGGCCGGTGATGATAAATATAATAGTTCATATGAAAAAAAACATGGCGCAAGCCACTAGAGCATCTCGTTCATCTCATTCATTTAATCACACAATTACACTCTATTTCACCCATATCGTGTCCACATCATCATTCGATTGAATATCTCTCCATTTAAACACACACCTACATTAATTAATTCATTTAAACGCAAACATATAAGACATATTACCCTCTAGTTCAATATTATTTTTATATTCTATTCTTAATAAAAATAAATATATTTTTTAATTAGAATATT